ACTGAAGCTCTTTCCACATTCCATGCATTTAAATGGTTTTTCCCCTGTGTGCATTCTTTGATGGGAATGGAAGCTACTTCTCTGAGTGTAACTCTTTCCACACTGTTCGCATTTGTATTGTCTCTCGACTCTCAGGGGTTTTTTATGTGATCTACAATCACTGTGCATCGTGATCCTCTTTCCTTTTTCTATGGACGTATGTTTTTTTTTCTTCATAGATAGAATTTCTTTGGTGCTCCACACTTGGGTTTTGTTTTCAATGAAAGAATGACTGGCTCCATAGAATTCCCATTGTCCTCTTCATCACCTGATGGAGAGAACAAAAGAGATCAAAGAGGAGTGCAATGTAAAAAACAAAGACCTTACTTGCTCGCAGGAGTTCAAATCCCCAGGGCCAGATGAACTGCATCCAAGGATATTGAAGGAGCTGGCTGAAGACTTCCAAAGAATAGCAAGGAGAGACAAGAGGGCCTTCTTAAATGAACAGAATAGGAAAATAAGAGAAAGGGATATAACTGAGAGCTGTTCAGGAAAATTGGAGATATTAAAGGAAACTTTTGTTCAAAGATGGACATGAAAAACCACTGGGCTAGTCAGGTATAAGCTAGCGTAAATTAGCAGAGAAGGGAAACAAAATGCAAGGGAGATAGGGAAAGTTACAGAAAACTCAACACAGGCCCTCTTCTCTCTCCTTGCTATTCTTTGGAAGAGGGCCTTCTTAAATGGACAGTGCAAAGAAATATTGGAAAATAAGAGAAAGGGATAAACCAGTGATCTTTTCAGGAAAATTGGAGATATTAAAGGAAACTTTTGTTCAAAGATGGACATGATAGATGACCTTACAGGAGAAGACATCAAGAAGAGGTGGAATTATATCAGAAAGATTTGGATTTCCTGAACAACCTAGATAGTGTGGTTGCTGACTTTGAGCCAGACATCCTGGACAGCGAAGTCAAGTGGGGCTTAGAAAGCATGGCTAACAACAGGGCCAGTGGAGGTGATGGCTGTGACACAATTCCATCTCTGAGACCTTTATATTGTTCTGATTCCTCAAAAAGACGCAAGCTGCACCTATCTTTCACACTATCACCAGATGTTTTCTTTTAAACATCAATCAATTCCAGAACACACCATTTAACAATCGCATTAAGTTTATTTATCAGGGTGGGGTTAATGATTGGTTGAAAATAACAGAGTCATTCACAGGCAGCAAATCACTTAGATAAACAAGTATGTATTTAACTCCTTCTATTACTTCACTATACTTCCCAATCTCTGATTTGAATCTACCTCAATCAATCAATACCCTTTGAATCTCTGATCTCAATCGTTATGTTTGTCCTCTCACTCTACTCTCACTGTCTCACACTCCTCCACTCTCACACTACTATCTATCTCACACTCCACCAAAGCTTCACACAGAACTCTAACTCAAATCAAATATAAATAAATAAATAAACTCCCAGAAGTCCAAGCTGGATTTTGAACGGGCAGAGGAACTAGGGACCAAATTGCTAACATACGCAGGATTAGGGAGAAAGCCAGAGAGTTCCAGAGAAACATCTACTTCTGTTTCATTGACTATGCCAAAGCCTTTGACTGTGGACCACAGCAAACTATGGCAAGTTCTTAAAGAAATGGGAGTGCCTGACCAACTTAGCTATCTCCTGAGGAATATATATGTGGGACAGGAAGCAACAGTTAGAACTGGATATGGAAAAACTGATGGTTTCAAAATTCGGAAAGGAGTAGAATAAAGCAATATATTGTGACCCTCCTTATTTAACTTATATGCAGAATACATTATGCGAAAAGCTGGACTGGATGAATCCCAAGACAGAATTAAGATTGCTGGAAGAAATATCAACAACCTCAGATATGCAGATGATGCCACTCTGATGGAAGAAATTGAGGAGAAATTAAAGAACCTCTTAATGAGGGTGAAAGAGGCAAGCACAAAAAATGGTCTGAAGCTCAAAAAAAAAAAAAAAAGATCATGGCCACTGGTCCCATCACCTCCTGGCAAACAGAAGGGGAAGATACATAGACAGTGACATATTTTACTTTCTTGGGCTCCATGATCACTGCAGATGGTGACAGTAGCTAGAAAATTAAAAGACACCTGCTTCTTGGGAGGTGATCTCTCCTTTATCTCTGTGAAGGACAGAAGACAGTGTGCCATCCTCTATCCCCATAATGTTGACCGAAGAGAACAAGTGCTTGGAGGGGATATTGGTTAAAATAGAGCAGGACCCAGTAGTGCAGAAGGAGGCTCTAGAAGTGTGTCTAGCTGATGAAGAAAGGGAGAAGTTAGATCTAATCCTCCCTAGATCTGACTAAGGGATACTGGCAAATTCCCTTGTGCCGCGAGGACTGTGAAAAGATGGATTTTGTCACCCCCAAAGGCCTCTTCCATTAAAAAAAAAAGCCTTTTAGTTTGTTTGGGGTGGCGGCTACTTTCCAAAGGTTAATGGACCAAGTCCTGGAGCCTGTGCAGGAGTTTGCTGGAGCCTACATTGATGACATCTTGATTTACAGCAACAGTTGGGAAGAGCACATGATGCACTTAAGACGTGTGCTAGCCAAGTTAGGAAAAGCAGGCCTGAAATTAAACCCCTCCAAATGTAAGATTGCCTGAAAAGCAGTGAAGTTTTTAGGATTTCAAGTTGAAGAGAGTAAAATACATCTAGTGTCTGACAAAGTGGACAAAGTGGTAGCGTGGAACACCCCATGCACTAAGAAGGAAATAAAACAGTTTCTAGGGCTTGCTGGGTATTATAGACAGTTTGTGTCTAATTTTTCAGAAGTGGCTGCTCCCTTCACTGATCTTACACAGAAAAGGAAAGGGAACCACTTCCAAAAGAACAAGCTTTTGATTTGCTGAAAGACATTCTATCTCAGTTACCTAGTAGGTATGCCCCTGACTTTGTACTTCCATTCATAGTACAAACTGATGCGTCTGACAGAGGAATAGGCACTGTTCTAGCTCAGAAATGAGGAGAGGTAGAATACCCTATCATGTACCTGCGTAAAAAGCTGAACCAGCGGGAGCAGAGGTATGCCACTATAGAAAAGGAGACCCTTGCTGCCAAGCGGGTGATACAGACCTTATGGTATTATCTGTTAGGAACCTCCTCCACTCTAGTCACAGACCATGTGCCACTTCAATGGTTGAACTGAATGAAAGATACTAACCTGTGGTTGACTCGATGGTATTTGAGCCTGCAACCCTTTTCTTTTGAGGTACAATACAGGAAAGGTGGTGCCCACTCTAACGCAGACTATTTTTCCTAACAGGAAAGGGAAGGAGCTCGGCCTAAGGTGAGGATGGCACTCTCGGAGAGGGGGGCGTGTGAAGGAGAGAAGACCAGTGTGCCATCCTCTATCCCCCTAATGTCAACCAAAGAGAACAAGTGCATGGAGGGGATACTGGTTGAAATAGGGCAGGACCCGGTAGTGCAGAAGGGGGCTCTAGAGGTGTGTCTATCTGATGAAGAAGGGGAGGAGTTAGCTCTAATCCTGTGGGAGGATATAAAAGAGGGGGAAAGCACGCGGTTTTTCAATCTGGCAACTGACAGGGAACTGTCTGGAAGGAAGAGCCGAGGGGTACAGACTGATCCCATGCTCGGCCCAGAAGGAGCTACCTGCTTATTGAGAGACTTTCCGAACATGCAGATAGGAGGTTTATTACCTGAACCACATGGTTTCTACAAGAAAGAGGGTGAGCTGAGTCCCTTAGAATGGATGGTTGTGGTTTACCCGCACAATCAACATGGGGGCGGAGCTTCAAACAGCGAGGCAGCAAGAGTCCGGCTCTCCGGACTCTTGCTGTATTTGCCGAGAATCCAGGATTCCCTCAAAGATTTGAGGGAAGGGGGTTGAGGAGATACCCTCCTTTAGGTTGTAAGAGAGCGGAGGATTTCGGAGGGGGTGAAAAGCAATCACCTCCCCACATTACTCTTGTCTCTAGACAAAGGATTCCGTCGACGCCATGTTTATGGTTGTCCCAGCTGTAAAGCTCCGCGGCAGTAGGGAGAAGCATGAAAGATTTATGAAGGACTGCATCAACTGACCCAATCAATTTCAACTTTTGTAAGTACAAAAGAAATGTAAGCGACTGTTTTTGAGAACTGTAATCTGGAAGCGGCAAAGGAATTTAAAACCCAAACAGCCCAGTACTTTTCTACTGCGTCACAAGTGATCGTAGTGGACAAAGACAGAGCTTTCACTATCTATCTTACTACCCTCGATGGGAACACATGCACAGTAATTGTCAAGCTGGAGAAGCTGCAATTTGAGACGGTATGAATCACTAGCCCCGTCGGAGAACTGACTTTTATGGCTTTTACGACCGAAGTGCTTTATTGCTTGTAGCCGGAAGAAGCAAAATAAACTGGGTTAGAAAGTACTTTTGTCCAGCTACTTTTCAATAAAGATGGATATAACCTGGGAGTTTTTAAATGAACTTCAGAATATGGAAACCAACATCATGAACTGCATTCAAGAGCAGTTTTTAGGGCTCCGGTCTGTTCTTTTGGACCTAGGAAAAACAACTGAGAATTGGGAACCCCCGCAGTATATGGGAACAGTTGCCGGAGATCATCTCATCAGCAGCACAAGAAAGCACCACCTAGTGGCACAAAAGACAGAAGCTGGAGATCATCTCATCAGCAGCACAAGAAAGCTCCATCTAGTGGCACAAAAGACAGAAACCGAAAATCATCTCATCAGCAGCACGAGAAAGCCCCACCTAGTGGTACAAAAGACAGAAGCTGGAGACCAAGTCATCAGCAACATAAGAAAGCACCACCCAGCAGCACAAGAAAGTCCGGATTTATTGGACCTTAGAAAGAAGGGTAAAAGCCTTAAAAAGCTTAGGGAAATTGAGGGACATTGTGAAATAGAGATCCAGAGGAGGGAAAACGGGACATGTCCTAAGTTGATAGGTGAATTTGGTAATCAGGAAAGTGAAGAAAGGCGTAAGGGTAGTTGGAATGATTACAAACCAAGCATCCTTTGGCTTCAGTGGCAAATTCTTATGATGGGGGAAAATCCAAACCAGAGACAAAATAGCTTAATTGCGCTCTACGGAAGGTACTATAAAACTAGGGGAAAAAATAAAAATAAAATAAAATAATTGATGTCTATAATAATAAAATGATGCTGATCATATTTGGAGATAAATGATAGTTGAGAACTAGCAATTGTACAATCTGGAATATGTATGTCAAGCTAGACGAAATAATTGATGTCCCTGATTGTAAAACAATTTTGATTATATTTGGAGATAAATGATGAGTAAGAACT